GCATGGCTGGTGTCACGGACGTAGGTAGGGAGTTCCTGGACCAAGGGGGAGAAAATTGAGTCGAGATAAGTGGAGATAAGTTCGGTGGGGCAGGAGCAGGCGGAGACAATGGGCCGACCAGGGCAGTCGGGTTTGTGGATTTTGGGAAGGAGATAGAAGCGGGCGGTGCGGGGTTGGGGAATGATGAGGTTGGAGGCTGTGGGTGGAAGGTCACCTGAGGTGATGAGGTTGTGGATGGTTTGGGAGATGATGGTTTGGTGGTCGTGGGTGGGGTCATGATCAAGGGGGCGGTAGGAGGAGGTGTCGGAGAGTTGATGCCTGGCCTCGGCAATGTAGAGGTCAGTGCGCCATACTACAACTGCGCCTCCCTTGTCCACGGGTTTTATGGTGAGGTTGGGATTGGAGCGGAGGGCTGCATGTTCTGCGGGGGAGCGGTTGGAGTGGGTGAAAAGGGTGGAGAGGTTGAGGCGATTGATATCTCAATGGCAGTTGGAGATGAAGAGGTCGAGGGAGGGTAGGAGGCCTTGGGGTGGTGTCCAGGGGACCGCTTTGCAGAACACCTACGCTCGGTTCGCAATCAACAACTGCACCTCCCAGTCGCGAACCATTTCAACTCCCCCTCCCATTCCTCAGACGACATGTCCATCCTGGGCCTCCTGCAGTGCCACAACGATGCTACCTGAAGGTTGCAGGAACAGCAACTTGTATTCCGCTTGGGAACCCTGCAGCCCAATGGTATCAATGTGGACTTCACAAGCTTCAAAATCTCCCCTCCCCCTACCGCATCCCAAAACCAGCCCAGCTCGTCCCCACCTCCCTAACCTGTCCTTCCTCCCACCTATCCCCTCCTCCCACCCCAAGCCCCGCCCCCATCTCCTACCTACTAACCTCATCCCGCCCCCTTGACCTGTCCGTCCTCCCTGGACTGAACTATCCCCTCCCTAACTCCCCACCTACACTCCCCTCTACTGGCTCCATCCCCGCTTCTTTGACCTGTCTGTCTCCTCTCCACCTATCTTTTCCTCTATCCATCTTCTATCCGCCTCCCCCTCTCTCCCTATTTATTTCGGAACCCCCTTCCCCTCCCCCATTTCTGAAGAAGGGTCTAGGCCCAAAACGTCAGGCGTCAGGCTTCCTGCTCCTCTGATGCTGCTTGGCCTGCTGTGTTCATCCAGCTCTGCACCTTGTTATCTCAGATTCTCCAGCGTCTGCAGTTCCTGCCATCTCGACTTCTCTCTCGTCTGGGTGAAGTTTGAAGAAACATCAATTTAGTTATTTGTCATCATTGAATTGCGACAAAAGGATGGGTCAGGAGACCGACCAAAATCTGTTAAAGGTCACTTGGCACTGTTTTGAAGAAGTGCTTTGAAATAATTCTGCAGAAGCTGGGATCCCATCCCCAAGTCACCCTTTGTTTACACATGCATTGTACCTGACACAGGTCTGGCTTCCTCAGAGCCAGCTGTCAGGGTGAGCAGAACCTCTGACACTGGTGGTGGCCGTGGTGCAGGGGACTCCTGGTTGAGGGGTCAGTGTGGGTTCAGCATGGGATTTGGCAGCTTCAACATGGTGGGGCCCAGTAGTGAAGGGATGGCACCTAAGCAGTGGCAACTCCTACATTGGTGTGTCTGGCGTGGGTGGAAGTCTGTCTTTCAGTTACAGGCAGCTAGGTGCTGGTGTGGACTGGGTTTTTTTATTTATTAATTTGTGGCATATGACTTACACTGGCTGGCCAGCATTCATTGCTCGTACCTAGTTGCCCTTGAGAAGGTGGTGGTGGGCTGCCTGTTGTGGGTTGACCCACAATGCCGTTAAGGGAGGGAATTCCAGGATTTTGACCCAGCGATGGTGAAGGAATAGGCATTATATGTCAGTTAAGATGCTAAGTGGCTTGAGGGGAACTTGAAGGTGCTGGTATTCCCATATGTCTGCTGCCCTTGTCCTTTTCGATGGAAGTGATTGTGGGTTTGAAAGGTGCTATCTGGGGATATATTTTTGGTGAATTTCTACAGTACATCCTGTAGATAGTACACGCTGCTGCTACTGAGCATTGGCGGTGGAGGGAGTGGGTGCTTGTGGATGTAGTGCCAAACAAATGGGTTGGAAGGACTGTTATACTGAACTTTAGATTTTTCTTTTTTTCTAATTTATTCCTATGATCCTAAGCCTATGCTAGACTTTGTATTTCTTGATTTTTCTAATACTGTTTCCTAAGAATTTGTACTTGAGAGTCTGTACTTAGGAATCTTTGTACCTAAGATTGCACCAGAAGTGGTGGCTTGTAAACTTTTCACTGTACTCCGGAAAGATATACTGATATTGGATGTTGAACAGAGAAGGCTTACTAGTCTGGTCTTGATTTGGAGGGACTGTCTTGTGAGGAGAGGTTGAGCAGGTTGGGCTGAACTTGTTAGTGTTTAGAAGAATGAAATGAAACCATATTGAAATATATATTCTCACGGGGACAAGATAGATCTGGAAAAATTGCTTCTTCCTTGTGGAAGAGTGTAGGACCAGATGGCATCATCTAAGAAAGGGATTTGAAGTTTATAAGGATAAGGCAGGAAAGTGAAGCAAAGGATTACCAGATCAACCATGATCTCATTCAACGTTGAAGCAGACTTGATGGGCCAAATGCTGTTCTTCTGCTCCTATGTCATATGGTCTTAGGGTTAGCAACACTTGGTGTGGCTCATGTCCCAGTCTGGGATAGCAGTCTGTGCTGCATTTGCTAAATGGGCTGAGAATATGCACAATTTGCTGAGCTCTGTGTCTCATGGGCCCACATCTTGCCCACTGAGATTTTTGTTTTTGGTTATTGCTTACAATGCCCTTTCAAACGGTCAGCCTCTGAGGTCACAGCTATCAGCAACTGTCATCCAGGTGGCAGTAAAATGTCTGCCATATTCACATCGCTCAAGTTCCCTTGTAGTGGATACCCAGGAGGTCATGACCCAGTGACAGTTTCACTGTACAGAAGGTCTTTTGGACATAAAGTTATCACCCATTCAATGAATGTTGCCAAGCCAGCACTGGCTTAGCAATGAGTGTAAGATAATTGTATTAACCTTTGTGTTGGTGGCATCAGCTTTACCAAGAGATGCTTGGGACATGTCTGAAACAGTGAAGGTGGAAACTGTTGAGCGTTTTCTTCCCCCAGAAGTGTGTTTTGTGAGCGCATGCTTGAAAATTCAGAGTTTGTTGTTCTCAGTCAGGTTGCTTTTCCATTCTGTCTCTTACTCGGTCTGGACATGACAGCTGCTACTGTGATGATGGTTTCAGCATTAAGTGACAGATTGCTGGTGATATTGGAGCCTAGGTATGTCAGACTATTAACAATCTCCAGTGTCACATTGTCAACCTAGATCGATGACGGTACGCTATCATCCTAGGCTATGAAACTTGTCTTCCTGTATCTGTCGGTTAACTAAATTCTGTACAGATGTGAGAGAGTCTGGTCACCAACTGCTGATTCTTTTACTCAGTATGAAATGTTAGCGTGGATGGTAATCAACATTATAAAAAGAAGAGCCGAAAGAACTGCGGATGCTGTAAATCAGGAACAAAAACAGAAGTTGCTGGAAAAGCTCAGCAGGTCTGGCGGCATCCGTGAAGAAAAAATCAGAGTTAAATTTTCGGGTCCGGTGACCCTTCCCCTGAACCCAAAACGTTAACTCTGATTTTTCTTTTCTTCCTGGAAGCTGCCAGACCTGCTGAGTTTTTCCAGCAACTTCTGTTTTTGTTCCTGATTATAAAAAGAAGTTTATCTGATCATTTATCTTATTATTGTTTGTGGGATCTTTGTGTGCAAACTGGCTGCCATGTTTTCTACATTACTACAATGACTATGCCTCAAAAATTATAACTAAAGTACTTTGGGACGATGTGAATCACTGAAAGACACGATAGAAATGCCAGTCTTTCCTCCTATATCATTTTCCACAGATGCTGTCTGACTGGTATTTCTACATTTCCTGTTTTAAGATCAGATTTCCAGCATTCTTTCAAATAGTTTCCTATTAAGAGGAAGTGAAATTGAAACCCATCTTAAAAAATCTCAAGCTGTGGTTTGTTCTTGATTTTTTAAGTTGTCTGACTTGGGCGTTTCTTGCCAGTGTTTGCTTCACTAAGAGCACAAGTTATGGTGTGCGACACAATGCTTTCATTCAAATACTTAGGAGTCATGATTTTCAGTTGACATTTAGTTACTGAATAGAAAATATAATTTTTGCACTTTCCAGCATGTAATTTCTTGGGGAACCTTGAGTTATTATGACACAGGAGGCTATTCAGCCCATCAAGTCCATTCCTCCCTGATGAGATCCATATACCTTCTCTATTACCACCACCCTGCAGATTTATTCTTCCCTCAAGGATCCCAATTTCCTTTGAAATCACTGATCATCTCTTTCCACCTTGAAGGCAGTGGGAACTATAGGTCAGTTAGCTTAACTTTGGTAGTGGAGAAAATGCTTGAATCTATCATTAAGGAAGAAATAGCAAGACATCTGGATATAAATTGTCCCATTGGGAACACCCAGCATGGGTTCATGAAGGGTAGGTCATGTTTAACTAATTTGGTGGAATTCTTTGAGGACATTACTTGCATGGTGGACAGTGGGGAACCTGTGGATGTGGTGTATCTGGATTTCCAGAAGGCATTTGACAAGGTGGCACACCAAAGGCTGCTACATAAGATAAAGTTGCACGGTATTACAGGTAATGTATTGGCATGGATAGAGGATTGGTTGATCAGTAGAAAGCAAAGAGTAGGGGTAAATGGGTGTTTTTCTGGTTGGCGGTCAGTGGCTAGTGGTGTGCCTCAGGGATCAGTGTTGGGACCACAATTGTTTACAATTTACATAGGTGATTTGAAGTTGGGGACTAAGTGTGGTGTGTCAAAATTTGCAGATGACACTAAGGTGAATGGTAAAGCTAAGTGTGCAGAAGACACAAAGTCTGCAGAGGGATATAGATAGTCTAAGTGAGTGGGCAAAGGTCTGGCAGATGGAGTACAATGTTGATAAGTGTGAGGTCATCCATTTTGGTAGGAGTAACAGGAAAATGAACTATGTTTTAAATGGTAAAAAATTGCAGCACGCTACTGTGCAGAGGGACTTGGGTGTCCTTGTGCATGAATCGCTAAAAGTAGGATTGCAGGTGCAGTAGGTAATTAAAAAGGCAAATGGAATTTTGTCTGCCATTGCTCGAGAGATGGAGTTTCAAAACAGGGAGGCTAAGCTGCAGCTGTATAGGGTCCTGGTGAGGCCACACCTGGAGTACTGTGTGCAGTTTTGGCCTCCTTACTTGAGAAGAGATATACTAGCACTGGAGGAGGTGCAGAGGAGATTCACTCGGTTGATTCCAGAGTTGAGAGGGTTGGATTATGAGGAGAGACTGAGTAGACTGGGATTATACTCATTGGAATTCAGAAGAATGAGGGGAGATCTTACAGAAACATATAAGATTATGAAGGGAATAGATAAGGTGGAGGCAGGGAGGTTGTTTCCGCTAGCAGGTGAAACTAGGACTAGAGGGCATCGCCTCAAAATAAAGGGAAGCAGATGAAGGACTGAGGTCAGGAGGAACTTCTTCACCCAAAGGGTTGTGAATCTGTGAAATTCCCTGCCCAGTGAAGCGGTTGAAGCTACCTCGCTGAATGTTTTTAAGGCAAGGCTAGATAAATTTTTGAACAGTAAAGGAATTAAGGGTTATGGTGAGTGGGTGGGTAAGTGGAGCTGAGTCTCAAAAAGATCAGCCATGATCTTACTAAATGGTGCGGCAGGCTCGAGGGGCTAGATGGCCTACTCCTGCTCCTAGTTCTTATGAACTAGGAGTCATGTCTGAATAGCTTAGAAATGCATAATATCACATTGAAGTTTGTCACAAATGCTGTATATTGTTAGACAGTCACTATCTAACTGCAGGTTCTTACAGAGATAGTAGGAACTGCAGATGCTGGAGAATCTGAGATAACAAGAGCTGGATAAACACAGCACGCCAAGTAGCATCAGAGGAGCAGGCAAGCTGACGTTTCGGGCCGAGACCCAGATTGTGCTTTTTGGGCCGCTGTTAAAAGCATTTCGCAAACCCTATACGATCATTAAGACTGTATGATTGGGAAACATAAGATGGAATTTGGATAAAGATGTTATAAACGTCAGAAAGGACACAAGAAGATACAATTCTTAGATGTCCTGTTGTCTTTTATTACAACGAGAAAACAACATCGGTGTTAAAACCAAAAATGGTCAGCAGGTCTGGCAGCATCTGTGGAGAGAGAAAGAGAGTCGATGTTTAAGTCAGATATGCCACTTTTTCAGAATTGAGTTGGGGTGGGGGCGGGGAAGAATGTGTGAAAGTTATGACGTTTACGTTGTTGACGGAGAGGGAGGAGGAGCGAGTGGTACAGATGGTGAAAGTACTTGGAGCACCTTTTGTGAGGGAGAGGGGGGGAACCATTGTTTCGAATCCGGTGTGGCGGCCGGACGATGCTCGCGGTTGCCCAGAAGATGGCGGCGCACTGGTGACGGGAGCGGTTCGGGTCGGCCGTCGGACCGAATGGCCCAAGCAGTCCGCTTTAAAAATCGAGGGGCCGGAGGCAGGTGGTGGTTTCGCCCTTTAAAGAAATGGAGGGGGGGAAGCAGGGTGGGGAATTTTGTATTTTGTTTAGTTGTTTTTTTTTGTCTCTGCTGCCGTCTCGTCCCTTTGGGCAGCGCTGCGCTCGCGGTTCCAGGTTGACCGCTCGGGGGAGGGGCTTGGGGGAGGCGGGGTGGGGAAGGTGCACTCTACGCATGCGCCGATGCGGCTGCCGGCCGCCGGCTCTAGTGAAGGCAGCAGGGCCCATTGCCCTGGCTGTGCCTTGGGGGTGTTCACAAAAACAACGGGCCGCAAGGTAGTGGCTTTCCTTCCCTCGCAGACAGAGTCAGGACTCTATCCCCAACCTCATAGACCCATCAGTAAACCCCCAACTCCTACCCCACTGTCAACATCATCGGGAGAAATACCATTGACCATGAGCAGTGGTTCAACGGGTTGGGACTCCACACATTGGAATTTACAAGGAGAGGTGACCTCGTTGAACGATGTGGGATTTTTCAGGGAAATTACATGAAGAACCGCAGATCTCAGACTTCTGCTTGGGGACCGTGCAGCCTTCAGGACTCAATGTTGAGCTCAAAAGCCTAAACACCACCTTCTAAGTCTTTTACTGAATGGGAGTTGTTTGTTTCTGGTTCCTGGGCGTCGTGGTAGAGCGCAAGACAAATGGGGAACTGCAAACGAAAGTACACCAAAAAGCCACACACACAGACCAGGTGTTGAACTTCAATAGTAACCATTCCAGCACACACAAATGAAGCTGCGTGCGAACACTATTTAAAAGGGCAACAACACACTGCAGCACCATGGAACTACGCCAAGAGGAGGAGGAATACCTCTTCCAAGTGTTCAAGGATAATGGATATCCAAAGAACTGGGTCAGGAGATGCCTACAGGAACAGCATCAGAAAGATTTTACACGCCCCGACACACTCATCACACTACCCTACATCAGGAACACATCAGAACTCACCACAAGACTTCTACGACGGCTGGGCATCAGAGTGGCGCACAAGCCCACATCAACCCTACGACAAGTGCTCACCCGAACTAAAGACCCACTCCCCACCATGGACAGGACCAATGTCATCTACAAGATCCCCTGCAGAGACTGCAAGAAACGTCGGACAAACAGGAAAGAAACTAACAACAAGAGTACATGAACACCAACTGGCTACAAAAAGACACGACCAATACTCATTCATCTCAATCCACATGGACAAGGAGAACCACGATTTTGACTGGGACAACACCAAGATCCTGGGACAGGCTAAGTGAGACAAGCCCGAGAATTCCTGGAAGCATGGCACTCCACGAAGCATGCTATTAATAAACACATTGAACTCGACCCCAAATACATTCCACTACAGAGGAAACCTGGAAGTGAGGCAATCCATCGCAACGGACCCCAGAGTTTAAAAACCAGGCGGGAAAACACACCGGCACTTCATCAGAGGCTGCACTGAGGATGTTACCAAGCACGGTAACGAAACGTCTGCGGAACAACAAACCAGCTCGGCGAGCCAACCAACCTAAACACCCACACCCGAGCTACAGATCTACTCCAAAACCTTAATTACCACCTTTTCCTAGCTACTACCAATTACAAAGAAGGGTCACGGGAGCTGATACATTAAGTCTGCTTTCTCTCCGTAGACACTACTAGACCAGCCCAGCAATTTCTGTTCTGTAATTCTTAAGGGCCTTGACAGGGCAAATGATGAGAATATATTTCCCCTTATTGGAGAGTCTAGGACCAGAGAGCATTGTCTCAGAATAAAGCAGTGTCGATTTAGCACTAACATGAGGGGGGATTTCTTACCTCGGAAAGTTGAGTGTCTTTGGAACTCCTGGCCAGCACACTGTGGAGGCAGAGTATGTATTGAAGACTGACTTAGATTACTGATCAGTGGGGAAAAGGCAGAAAAATGGACATGAGGAATGTTGGCTCAGTATGATGCTATTAAATGGCAGAGCAGACTTGCAGAGGCAAAAACTGACTCTGGTTCCTATTTCTTATGGACCAGAAACTGAACTGGAATAGCCATTTCTATACTGTGGCCACGAGAACAGGTTAAAGGATGGGAATCCTGCAGTGACCACCTTGTCTCCTGCCAGCTTCTTAGTCTCGGGGAATACCAGATGGAGCAAAAGCCAGTTGTTGTCGCTTTTTTTTAATTGATTGTTTGAAAGACACTGGCAGGTTTTGACACCTGTGGTTTGATTTTTTTTCCTCATTGCAGGTTAACACAAAATGAACACGCTGCTGAATGAAATTTCCAAGGAGACGGTGGTGCGGCCACTGAGCCGGAAAGAGGTGCTGGGGATGCTCTTCCGTCTCACGGTGTTTGGTGCTGCCACGTACTTTGGTATCAAATGGATGGTGGATACCATAGATCCAACACGAAGACAGAAGATGGAGAACAAGAAAAGGGTATGGTTGTCAAATATGAGCCACTGTGAAGTGCTGGTAATGTGTCTACTGAAATAAAGTTGTTTGGGATTGTGAGGCTATGAGATCACAAAAGCCCCTCGCAAATCTGTTTGAGATTGGTCCATCATGTCCTCTCATCAGAAATATGTTTAATCGTTTCAACTGCCATCTTGTACGACCACAGTGCCCTTCAGAAGAATGATCGCTGTCTGATTTCTCTTCTTAGCTATAACTTCTGAAATGTTAACTTGGGCTGACTGTTGTTTGCACCTGTTGGTCAAGTGAACAAAAGGTGTAGGGCTTCCATTTCGACAGAAATGGCTGGAAAAATACAGTATGTCTGGCAGCATCTATGGAGAGAAAGCAGAGTTAACGTCTTGGGTCCAGTGACCCTCCTTCAGAACTTTACCCAAAATGTTAACTCTACTTTCTCTCCACAGATGCTGCCAGACCAACTGTGTTTTCCCAAACATTTCTAGTCTTGCTTCAGATTCCAGTGTCTGCAGTTCTTTGGGTTGTTTTTTGTTGCCATTTCAACCCCTCCCTGTCCCTCATTACTTCAATCAATTTAGACACCTGTAGTATAGTTTATAATGTCCACTCTTCACTGGTGTCATGCTTGACTGCAGCCAACGTATGCTATTGAACTGTCCTCTAGGCAGCAAAGCTGATGAAACAGATTGGCGTGGAAGGAATCAAGCTCTCAGAGCATGAATTGATGATAGCATCTCATTTGGTGGATCCCAGTACACTAAAGGGGGTGAGTGTTTTCTCTTGGTGTCTCTTGATTTATTAAATCAATGACATATCATTGGCCAGCTACTTATCTAAGTTTGTCTGTGCTGGTGTGTGTGGCACTATGAACTGTTCAACAGAAGTGTCCCAACCCAAAACGTCAGCTTTCCTGTTCGTCTGATGCTGCCTGGCCTGCTGTGTTCCTCCAGCTCTATACTTTGTTATCTCTTATTCAATACAAGACTCCCTGTTGTAAATCTGCTGTTGCACATAATGAAGTATTTGCTTTAAAGTGTTTGGGTATAGAGTTCTTTGGTAGAGACATTAAGATGTACTTGATTGGAGTTTTTTGATTCAACCTGTATTACTTCCATCTGTCCATTGGAATATTTTCGGTTTGAGCGCAACATTTAAACTGGGACAACAGAGAGAGAGTACAGGCAGAAGTCCTGTACCTAAGGTCAGATGTTAAAAAATTTGCTTGGTTAGGTAGTTTAAATTGACATTGAATCATAATTCTCAATAAACGTATAGCTTTAGATTGCCGAATGTTTCAGACATTTTGATTTCAACAAGAATCAAACATGCCCATTCGGTTTGAATGGAAGCAGGCTGAGGGACATTGAAGTAAATGGAAATAGTATATCAGGGCAACAATGTAATGAAAGGAAGAGGGGGCAGAATTTATGGATTAGTTGCCTTGATAACAAATCTTGTGGGCCAAGAGAAAAAGGAGTGAGTGTTTCTTCCAGGTGCAATAAGCTAGCCAGCAAATCCTCCCTCTCAGTCTCTCTACTCCCTCACTTACCATGGTGGGGGCAAATTGGACTCCCCACCCCACCTCTCCCCTGCCAGAATCACACTCACTCCTTTAGCTGAACCCATCAATTTAGGCTTGAGGTCAGTGGCTTCATAAGCAAATCAGTCAAGAGATAGGAACTATTCTTAAATGAGCCCTACAGTTAATTTCTGCAGGTATTCAGGAAACGCATTTCTCTGGGTAGCCCAGCCTACAATAATGCCACCACCCCACCCCACCCCACAGAGCTCTCCATTAGGGGAAAGATGGGGCCTAAAAATCCCAAAGCATGACCAGAAAATATCCTGGGAATTTATAGTGTTTTGATTAATGCCTCCTAGTAAAATGGGTTAACTGCTCATTCATTGCAATGCCATTTAGATTGGTGTCTCATCTGGGTCCATAACAGTCAATGCTGTTGTCTTTGTTTCTTGACACATTCCAATAGGTGACCTGGCGGGACATTGCTGGGCTGGATGAAGTTATCACTGAACTGCAGGAAACTGTAATTCTCCCATTCCAGAAGAGACACTTATTCCGTGAATCCAAACTCTTCCAGCCACCAAAAGGTGAGGTTTGATTTGTACTTGAGATGGACTTGGTAATACCTGATATGCAGTGCAGGGTTTGGTGATGATGTGCGTGTCTCAACGTGAGATTGAGTGGGATCAAACACAACAGAACATAGTACTGCTCCTGCTCTTCGGGTACAGCGTGGGGTTGGATACAGAATCAAGCTTTTTCATAGAATCCCTACAGTGCAGATAGAGGCTATTTGGCTCATCGAGTGTGAACGGACCCACCAAAGAGCATCCCACCCCAGACCCACCCTATCCCCGTAACCTTGTGTTAACCGTGGCTAATCCACCTAGCCTGTATATCCTTGAACACTATGAGCAACTAACATGGCCGATTCACCTAACTTTTAACAAAGGCAAAAATGCTGGAAAAGCTCAGCAGGTCTCGCAACATCTGTGAAGACAAATCAGAGTTAACATTTTGGGTCTGGTAACACTTCCTCAGAACTGGTGGTAGCTAGGAAAATGTTGATTTTTTATGCAGAAGGTAGGGTGGGGGGAGGGGGTAAGGAGAAAATGATAGGTGATTGGGGATAGAGCCCAAAGACACAAGAACAGTTGGACAGGCAAAAGAGTGGATAGTGATCTGGCTAGGATGGTTGAATAGCTGTTAATGGTGACTGTTAGTGGCTAACAATGGGTTGTGTGTAATAGCAGAGTATGTGATCACAAGGCCTGGACTGTGGGAGGAAATCGGAGTACCAAGCAGAAACCCATGCAGACCCAGGGAGATTGTGCAGACTCCACACAGACAGTCGCCCGAAGCTATTATTGAACGTGGGTCCCTGATGTTGTGAGACACCAGTGCTAACCACTGTCCCACGCCGTATCCTTTTAAACTGAAAGTTAAGCTCCTTGACGCAGACAATATCAAACACTGTCGGCATAAAATTAGTTACAGTGTAAAGTTAGCTCTATACTGTCCCCATTAGACATTCCTAGAATAGATACAGCAGCGCTTTAGATATGGAGTAAAGCTCTGTCTAAAGTTCATGTCCAGGCAAGCACAGAGTTCTGCTTGCATTTCTCTGACAGCATTAAATGTTTTTCAGTGATCAGAGTGTCTTTGCATCCACAGCCTTGTGTTTCAACAGCAAGTCTAGTTCCTGTCTATCAGTTATAAGTTTGGAAAATCTCAGTAAAACCCAAATTGAAAGACCTACCAATGTCTGAACAGTGAAAAGCCAAATGATTCTGATGCAGATAGTTGTGCCTGAAGACAATCTATCTAGATTTTCTTATTCAGATCCTGACTGTCTGTCTATCCATGTTGGATTTCAAATAGGATTCTTCTTTCTCTGGTTATGTCATAGGTGTGTTGCTGTATGGCCCTCCTGGTTGTGGGAAGACCCTCATTGCCAAAGCTACAGCAAATGTCGCTGGCTGCCATTTCATCAACATGCAGGCCTCAGCATTAACTGACAAGTGGTACGGAGAGTCACAGAAGCTGACAGCTGCAGTCTTCTCTTTGGCTGCAAAAATTGAGCCTTGTATTATCTTCATTGATGAAATAGGTAGGTGCTGACTTGCCAGAGAGTGATTATTCATGGAGCAAGAACGTCTTTTTCTGCCAGAATCTGACATAAAAAAGGGGTATCTGTTAGTCAATGTATAAACCATGTTTTCCCCTCTTTGATTTGATTTGAGCCTGTAACTCACTCTTGGGTATCTGATATTCAGAGTTATCTGTTATGCACCTAAGCAGAGAAACTTGGTGCTATGAGTGCGCAAATTATTGAAGGTGGCAGGGCAGGTTGAGAAAGCACTTAATGAAGCATCAGGATCCTCGACTTTATAATAGGGAATGAAGTGCAAAAGCAGGCGATTTATTACAATGCTGTGCGAAACACTGCTTTGACCTGAACTGGAGCATCTTGTTCATTTCTGGGAACCACATGAGGGTATGAGGGTCATTGGAGAGGGTGTTGAAGCGATTCATGAGAATGATTCCAGAAGCTTACATTTTGTAGAGAAGACCATAGGGTGTAGTAGCAGAAGTAGGCTGTTCGGTTCACTGAGTCCGCTGTGCCATTCAATGAGATCAGGGCTGATTGGATGAACCTAAACTCCACTTTCCTGCCTTTTCTAATTAAAAATCTGCCTGTCTCAGCCTTGAATATACTTAACCATCAAGCCTTGACAGCACTCAATGGTAAAACATTCCAAACTATCCTCAGAATAAATTTCTTCTTGTCTCTGTTGAGTAGGCAGCTCCCTACTCTGAGAATATACCCTCTAGGCCTAGACTTTCCACAAGGAGAAACGTCTATACTGGCAAGTCCATTAAGAATCTTATGTTTCAACAAGGTCGCCTCTTATTCTTCAAAGCTAAGAATACAGATTCAACCTCTCCTCGCAAGAAAATCGCCCCATTCCTGGTATGAACCTCATGAACCTTCTCTGGTCTGCTGACATTGTCGGTAGATCCCCAAAACTGTTCACAGTATTCCAGCTGTGGTCTGACTCATGCCTTGTATAATTTAGCAGAACTCCCTGTTTTTGTTCTCAATCCCCGTTGAAAGGTTGGAGAAATTCAGACGGTCTCCTTGGACAAGTTAAAGCTCAGAGCAGATTTGATCGAGGTGTTCGATACCGTGAGGAATCTGGTCAGATTTGATGAAGAGAAACTGTTCCTGTTGGTGGATGGATTTACTTGGGACACAGATTTAAGGTTATTGGCAAACAAAAGGGCAACGTGCATGAAGGTAGTAGTTAGGATCTGGAATGCGCTGGCTGAGAATGTGGTGGAGGTAGGTTCAGTCAGGGATTTCAAAAGAGAATCGGGTAATTATCTGAAGAGAGCCAATTTATAACACCACTATGGGGAAAAAGCAGAGAATTGTTGTGCACTAAATGGGCGCTTCCTGTGCTGTAACTAATCAGTGATTCTAAATCACTCAAACCCATCCAAAAGGGTAGTCCTACAAGTGTTGTTATTGTGGCTAATGTATAACAACTTGCCCATTTGGGCTTCTTTAATCCTATGTGCCCAGCCCTTTGCCTCATGCCAGTCTGTTTATTTTTGATTTTCCCTGTACTACTATCTGTTTACAATCTACCAGATTCCTTTCTACGGAACCGTTCCTGCAATGATCATGAGGCAACAGCAATGATGAAAGCGCAGTTCATGAGCTTGTGGGATGGATTGAGCACTGACACAGATTGCCAGGTAGATGGGGTTCTGCCTGAAACCAGCAGAGTTTGGCCACTGGTTAAGAGGTAAAACTTTGGACACGCACAAAGCAGTGTGGAATATCTGTACTGCTCATCACAGACAATAGTAAAACCGTACATTTTAACCGTAGAGGACCTCAGTTCCATGAGCGAAGTGAATGAAAAAAGAAGCCCACCCAATGATTTGATTAAAAGTTAATTCTTTTAAAAATTTGCACAATCAATTCAGTTTCTTGTGTCAGAGTGTATTACAAACAGGATTAATAAACCTCCCCCAGTATATGATTAGGTACTGCCATGACTATAAATAAATGTGCAGCCAGTGTTAGCATTAATGTCAATTTCCCTTAATCAGCGAGAAATACATTTCCCAGTTTCTTAGAAGGAGAATGTAATAAATCTTGCAATCTTAAGTTTCCCGTTTTTGTGCTTGATCTGTGCCTTAAGTTCCGTTTTTTGTAGGTGATTGTGATGGGTGCTACAAACAGACCTCAGGATGTCGATCCAGCCATCTTGAGAAGGATGCCCAGTACATTCCACGTGGGCCTGCCCGTGAGTGTTTGGCAGTACTTTCTTGAGCTGTTTTGGTGTCATCATTGTTACGGCCGCAGTTGGAGACGTACACCATTTTTCTATGGTCACAATGGAAGTAATAATTATTTTTCCAGTTACCAAGTTGACCATTTAAATACCATATATGTCAATATACACGCACACGCACCCACACCCACAACACAGACACAGACACTCGTTCTTTCAAGAAAATGAAAGAAAAGTAGATTTCTTTGCAGGTTGACATTCTGGAAAAAAAACACTTTGACCAACAATAAACGGCAAAATTGATATCTACCAGTTTCTTAATAAACATGGTGTATTGGTTTATTATCAAAGCAAAACATATTCGATGAAAATGCCATAATTGGTTAACAAGCACAGTCACTAATGTAGAAATGCAAATGCATATCCTTGTCAATATCCCCAAAATTCATGTACATGTACACACGCACCCGCGCACACACATGGACACTCGTTCTTTCAGGAAAATGAAAGAAAAGTAGATTTCTCTGCAGGTTGATATTCTGGGAAAAAAACACTTAGACCAATAGGTTATTCTTTAAGTAAAAGGAAGCATAGAATTTTCTGCGTTGCTGTGATGTTATGGCATCTGTGGGCAAGACATTAGACATGCAAGGATGTTTCAGTGCCCAAATCTGTCACCTTTGTGATCATTTATCAAATTTTGAAATGGTGGGGTGTAACTACAGTAGTAGACCAGGTCACATTTTCAGAACCCAAGACAAAACTTGTGTTGTTAGAAGTGATGCCATGATTTGCTGGACAGTTCTGAGACTGCCAATAGGTAGACTAGCAACCAATGTAAGATTAAAATGTCATGCTAATGGCTCATTTACGTTCACTAGAAGTTGCATGCGTTCATACATCATCTCCGCTAAATAAAAGCAAATTGTTAAAGCCTTGTGCCCTGTTTCCAATAAGCTTTGGGGTGTCCCAAATGCTATAGTTTCCCAATGCTTTCTGTCACAACGCCTCGGCCATTACAGTTGACTTGCCAAACAATCTGTTGTCTACCTCATTGTGAAATTCAATTGAAATTTGGCATTCTTGTGTTTGTTCGAGTGAGTGCGAGACCTAAAGCATCGGTAACCTCTCTCTCTCTCTTCAGCAACATTCAAGTAACCATTTCTCTGTAATCCCACAGAGGCAGAGACAGCGGTACGAGATTCTGAAGTTGATCCTTTCTGGTGAATGTGTACGTGTCTCACTTCTCCTCTTACTCACGTTTGTCTGTTACCCACTGCATTTTCTGCTGTACCTTGGAGGTGGTTATTGATTAGTTTTTTCTGTCTGTTTAAAATATTCCTTCCAGTTAAACAGTGATGTGAGACTGAAAGAAATAGCAGAGAAAACAGCCGGTTACTCGGGCAGTGACCTACGGGAACTTTGCCGAGAGGCAGCCTTGCACCGGCTCCGTGATTTTGTTCGGAAGGAGCAAATGCAGTGCATCGAGAGACAGCTGCAGGCTGATGACTACAAGGAAAGGTACCTCTTATTGCTGTGCCTTTGTTTCATTTGACAGTATTTGTATTTGATTTGGGGGTCTCCTAAGGGCAAAGCTTATCCCACAGTGTGAGACAGTTAACGAGTGAAAGGAAGACAAAATGAAGTAAAGGCAGAGAAGACATCCCTTCATCGGAAAACAGAGGCAACTTGTGCCTTATGTCTTTGGATAATCCATGTTTTCTTCTTTCCAGTCTGTTCCCAGGGTTAGATTTTTCTTTCTCCTCATGGTCAAGACTTGTGACTTGGCTCTTGCTAAGCCAAGCCTCTGAGGACTGCAATGGAGTAAGGCCAAAACTTAATCAGTACCTTTGGAGCCATTGCCCAATGATTGAGGGGGTTTAGGAAATGAAAGAAGATTTTTCAGACAGGGAGGTGGTGGTGTACAATAAACCTTTTCCAAAAGACTGCATTGAAAGTTGAATCAATTTGAGTGATTGGGCTGCAACATGAAGCAGCTGTCAAATTTCAGTCTGTGTCCTTGTATTTGTAAGGGATGATAATCTGATGCACGCTTTGTTTCTTTTCAAAGCTCCACCGATGAGCGTCTCCGAGCAATCACTCAGACAGACCTCTACCTGGCCTTGGAGAAGTTGACAGAATCAAAGGCAGGAACTAATGCTCTGATACTGCAAGACACTCCTGTGGACTGAACGGAGCACACACTGAACAATGTTGACTAACAGGTCTTACATATGCAAGTCACTTTCTTTTGTTTTATGGGCAATTCTGTTGACTTCTACGTAGCTGTAGTCCAGTTAATTTTCACAAATTAACTACTGTCCCCTTGTGAAATTGGACTGCAAGAGACGCTGAACAACATCAACCCTCATTTCTCTCCGACGATCAAACGGTCCTACTACTGTCTTCATGAGAAGGAGTGTGATATATGCTGGCAGTGTGCTGAGAGTAAAGTGACTCATCAAACTGACTCATCTTAGTGCAAAACCTCGTTTGGTGTAGGATTAGTGGAAAAGACCAGCAGTTGTTGTCTCACCCTTCCATTTCAGTGGAGGGCCATTTAGTAGCTAAAAGTGAGGATGGCTGGGCTGTATTTTCCCATCCAGTCTCCTTTCCTGCATTTCTGGCTGTCACTGGGGTACCAATGCCATCCACTATCTCACCAAATGTGATCTTTTCTCAGTGGGTGAGCTGGGGTAGTGCATATCACCAAGCTATTTTGATGCTGGCTAGGTACTGCTGATGGCTAAGGCTGTAGTAGGAGCAGGAAGCTTGCACTATTTCTTCCCTACCTTAGTCCCCAACCCAAGTGGCAGTGTTGGAGAGGGGGAGAGCAGGGCAGGGAGGGGGTGTGTGGTTTGTATATTGAAATGGGTGTTCTGTTTCAGCTGCCATGTTAAGCCCCATCAGCCCTCTTTTGGTGGTTTGACCTTGTTGGTTGGAAAGGAGTCAGCATATCTTAAAAGCGCAGCAGGAATGTCTGTTGCTCTGGCCAACATTTCTCTCCTGAATGATGTCACGAAAGTTGTAATTTGTCTTGCTGCTGTTCGAGGGTGACTGTTTTCTGAACAGTGGCTGCAGTGCTGGTTTTGCAGTCTCCTCCGATTGCATTCGCTTTCAGTGGAGCGTTAGCATAACCCATTGGGTAGTGCTCTCTTTTTGCATTCCAAGTTGAGTATTTGACACTGCAGAGAATCAAGCACCCAGTTCAGGCTGGCACCTCGGTTCAGTGCTGAAGGAATGCTGCACTGTTGAGAGCGTGCAGTCTTGTCGACACGTTGCTCAAACCGAGGTCCTGTCTGTCCCTTCGGATAGATGCGTGTAGATCCCTCAGCAGTAATCACAGAGAAGGAGAGCTATTCTCCTGGATAAAACTTAGTTTGCAACAAACCTAAGAAGCACAGATAAAGTGGTCTTTTTCCATTTGTAATTACACTCTGGGCAAGTTAGCTACTACGTTTCTTGCATTCCAGCAATGACTATCCTTCAAAGGTACTTCACTGGTTGGAAAGCGCTTTTGGATGTCAGTTCAATTGAAGTGCAAATCCTTTCTAATAACTGATATTAATTTATTAGTTCCATTAACTATTTTCCTCTTCAATTGCTTCATGAGGAATCACCAACTACTTCTGTGTTTACAACTTCACCTTTTCTTTATAGCTGTTTGTATAATACAATGTGTAGGTCAGTTTGTCAGATGGCTGGTGTGAATCAGACTGGTACGGGGTTCATTTCTTCTGGGATGTATTCATGATCAATCTCCTCCTACCTGTGGTGGAGGTGAATGGGTAGTGGGTTGGACTGAAGATGGATCTATTCACAACTTTGTTTTTCTTAAGTACCTGACCACCGAATGGATAAACCTCATTTCCTTTTCTTCAAGCTCCGACAGTCCTATAAGGGCTATGGGTTCAAACTGGGGCAAAACTGGTCATTTCATCAGTTCACCTCTTGGCCTTCTCTTTTTCCAGAGAGAAGGATACCCTCTTGATTCTTGTAACTTTTTTTTATGTTGTTGAGTACACTGGTGTTTTGTTTGCAATATGCAAACCTGAACTTTACACAGTATGCCGTGTGATCTAATCAAGATACTAAATGAGTTCATCATAACTAATCTGTTTTTGAATTTGATTCCTCTGAAAGGAATTGCACTATATTTTTTAAACCCGTCATCCTGTGTTTCTACTTTTGATGATGTGTGAACCCATGCACCTAAATCTCTTTGTGCCTCTACCCTGTCCCAATGACTCTGTGTTTCTCATGATTTCTCCTCTTAGAATGCATAATCAGCTCAAGTCTCATTCTGTAAGCTCCCATTAAAAAGGGTGACTTATTTGATGGGCATCTGGAGAATGACCAGTAATGCAGCTAGTGTCAGCATCTTTATTAGAGCACAACCATAAATAATCATGCATCTAATCACATCTTTGTTTTTCTTAAGTGGTCTTACCTGAGCATCAAATGGATAAACCTCATTTCCTTTTCTTCAAGCTCCAACAGTCACATAAGGGCTATGGGTTCAAACTGGGGCAAAATTTATTTGGAGCTGCTCTCCAGCTGCACTTTGCATAAGTAGTCACCAGCACATAAAATGGGTGAGAGAGTGGTGTGGGAGTTAACAATGGGACACTAATGAAGGGATGAATCATAATAGACTAAATGACCTTCCTTGTCTGGATCAGTTATATGATTTAAAGAGTTATACTATAGTTTCCAGAAACGTCTGCAGAGTGTAACTGTTGAATCTTCTTATGTTCTGAGATACACTTGTTTCGCACATATGACAAAAACATTCTGATATTTATATTGAAACATTTTAATCAGCAAAACCCATGCTTTAGCAGGTCTTGAGTCACGTACTGTGTAGCAAGCAGCATGAGCAAGTCATGCCACCACCCAACTAAATGGGAGAGAAGCTGTTAACCAGTTTAGAAATCTGGAGTGAGTCTGATTGATAGAACAAGGCCAAACATGAAAGAAAGATCACATCTTATGGCCCAGTTTTATGTTGAGTTATTTTACAGTTAACATTTTTACTATACTGTGTGGTAAATTGGGTTTTCAAATTTCTAACAAAACCTTAACCAAACAAATTCTCTGAGAGGCCATGTAATTCTCTGAAGACCTGAGTTCTGCTGTGAAAGGTTGGTGCAGGTAAGGATTTTCACTGTATTATCTTCAAAATCAATTATTAACCAGGTTTTTGTTTTTTTAAAAAAAAAGCTCGTTTGTGATGTGATACAGTGAAAGAAATATTGGACAATTTAAAAAAAATAGCCTGTTCAGAACAGTATAGTGGGAGTGGTTTAAGTGCATCAGTTTTGTTTCATTCACCTCCCCCTGAATGAGTGGTGGCCTTGAGATTTTGCAGACTCCAGCAGATTTTGATGCAGCTGAATTCAGGAGAGAAAAGGGTAGAAAAATAGGTGCTCCCGGTCATGAGAATGATCCTCCAATATAGCACTGCTTGGGACTGTAAGTCATGCATCGCTGCAATGATCTGCAAACGTTGCAGAAGTTGAGTAGAAATATTTATTTATTGCCAGTGTTAATTTATTGTTTGAACGTGTTTATAATTTGCTATCATTGACCATTGTACAGTGGATGGGAAAGGAACCTTTGTTTTGGTTGTCTGTTATGAGTATTCCATTGACTGCAGTAGTTTACCAGTCCAAGTTTTCCTTGGATTTTCAGTAAATTATCGCTGTGAGATATTGTTATGAAATAAACAGATCTCAGTTTTGTTGTTGTTTAAGCCATTTCTGTTTTAAAGCAACAGATAATCAGTGTTAAAAACAGTGTGTGCTGGAAATTCTCATCATCTGCAGAGGAAGAAATAAAGTTAAGGTTTTGAATCCAATATGACTCCTCTGAAAAAGTGTTGACTCAGTTTATCGCTCCACAGATACTGCTAGATCTGCTGAGTATTTCAAGCACTGTCTGTTCTTATTTCGCATCTCCAGCATCTGCAATTTTTTGCTTTTTGATTATTCAGGACGTGTTGCTTATGGTAAACTGAAGGACGGCAATGTTATGCAGTATAACAGGAAGTGTGTTACTCTGTTGCTAACCAAACATGTTTATTTTTCAGGCCATAATGCCTAACTGCAGTGAACAGGTATGATCTATGTGCCACTTAGACTTTTAGACACCTCATGGGGTCAGTCGAAGAACATTAATTTCCTATGGGAACTTGTAAATCCATGTTGTCTTGTTGATATACAAAGAAATCAGCAAGGAATGTCTGATTTTGCATTTCTTTTATTTATGATGGGAATTTGAACATTTACATGTTTGTAATAGGCTGCAATCAAAATAGAACAGCAACTTATATTATAAAATGTCCGAAAGTGCTCAACACAATATCAAATAAAAGCATAATTTTTTTTGACATTGGGCCCAAGAATAAGAAATAAGGACAGTTGGCCAAATATTTTAGGGTTTTAGTAGTGTCTTAGAAGAACAAAGAAAGAGCAAGGTGGAGAGGTTCAGGATAGTTTATGACCAGGGCATCTTAAGCCACCAGTGATGGATCACTTACAATCAGACATGTGCAGGAGGCTAGATTTGAAGGATTGTGAATATCATGGAACATTGCGAGGTTACAGGAAATTGCATAGATCTGTGAGGATTTTGAGAGGGCCGTGAAGGTATTATCTGAATACCTTTGAAGGTATATAGGCCTTCAAAATGAGAAGATTTGAGTACAGGATCAGAGATGTCTTACTGCAGTTGTACAGGGCCTTAATGAGACCACACACAGTTGTGTGGAGGAGTGTGTATGCAGTTTTGATCTCCTTATCTGAGGAAGGACATTCTGGCTATCCAACCAGACAGATTCCTGAGATGGCAGGATTGATGTATGAAGAGAGACCAGATCAGTTAGCACTATGTTCACTGGAGTTTAAAAAGAATCTGATGCATAAATGTACTTGAGTTCTAGTTGAGGATTCTGTTAAGGTTAACGTGCAAGTTTATTTGGCAGTTAGAAAGAAAAATGCAATGTTAGCATTCATTTCAAGAGGGCTAGAATACAAGAGCAGAGATGTACTGCTGAGGCTGTATAAGGCTCTGGTCATACCACAATGTGGGATATTGTGAGCAGTTTTGGGCCCCATGTCTAAGGAAGCAAGTGCTGGCATTTGGAGGGGGTCAAGAGGAGTTTTACAAGAATGATCCTGGGAATGAAATACTCGTCATGTGAGGAGTGATTGAGGACTCTGGGCCTGTGCTCAGTGGAATTTGGAAGGATGAAGGAGGATCTAATTGAAATTTACAGCATACTAAAAGATCTAGATAGAATGGACGTGAAGATGTTTCCACCAGCAGGCAAGACTAGAACCCGAAGGCACAGCCTCAGAGTAAAGAGACAATCCCTTAGAACTAAAATGAGGAGGAATTTCTTCAGCCAGAGGTGGTTTATCTGTGGAACTTATTGCCGCAGTGGGCTAATGGAGGCAAAGTCATTGAGCGTATTTACGACAGAGGTAAGTATATTTTTAATTGGTAAGGGGGATCGATATCTTATAGTCTTACGAAATGAGGAGGGATCTCATAGACACCTATAAAATTCTAACTTCTAGATCAGGTAAATGTGGGATGAATGTTCCTGATGACCAGAGAATCCAGAACCAAGGGTCAAGGACTGAGATGAGAAACATCTTCGCCCAAAAGTGGTGAGCCTGTGGAATTCTCTGTCGTAGAAAGCATTTGAGGTCAAAACGTTTAATGTTTTCAAGGAGGAGTAAGAGCTAGTTCTTGGGGTTAAAGGGATCAAAGAGTATGGGGAGAAATTTGGATAATCAGCCATGATCATATTGAATGGTGGAGCAGACTCAAAGAACTGAATAGACTTCCCCATTTTACTTGTTTCAATGTTTTGGTAGCAGCTTTTGAGCTCAAGTAGTGAGAATTCTTTGGTCTAATTCTTGCAGAACAGGGAAGCTGAGGAGAGCTTGAAATGCAGGCTGGGAGATAGATTCATTCAGCATGGAAACAGGCCCTTCAGCCCAACTCATCCATGCTTACCAGGTTTCCTAAACTGAACTAGTCTCATTTTGGTGTTTGGCCCATATCTTCTAAACCCTTGCTCTTCATGTACCTGTCCAAATGTCTTTTAAATATTGTAATTGTACCTGCCTCTACCACTTCCTCTGACAGCTCGTTCCATACACGCACCATCCTCTGTGTGGAAAATGTTGCCCCTCAGGTCCCTTTTAAATCTTTCCTATCTCACCTTAAACCAATGCCCTCTAGATTTTGATTCCCCTGTCCTGGGGCAAAGACCTTGGCTGTTCACCTTATCTGTGCCCCTGATGATTTTACAAACCTCAATATGGTCACCCCTCAGCCTCGGCGCTCCAGAGAAAAAAGTCCCAGCTTTTCCTCATAACTCAAACCTTCCAGTCTTGGTGACGTCCTTGTAAATATGTTTTGCAACCTTTCCAGTTGAATAACATCTTTGCTACAGCAGGGTGACCAGAATTGTCTGCAATGCTCCAAATGTGCCCTTACTAATGTTTTTACGGCCATGACATAATGTAGGAATATGGCTCATAAGAATGCTGAGCCCAGCAGGATATCTGTTTGCTTCTATTGGTGAGTACGTCACCATCTGCCAATTTCAGGGGGGGCAACATGGTTGATGTTCAAACCCACTTCGATCTCATTATACATAGGATTCCAACAGTTTTGCTTCCTTGACAGCAGTATCTCCCATAATTTGCACAACAGTCTTGGTACCTTTAAGTTTGTGCAGTGTTCTAGCTGGTCTGTGTTATATATCAGGTCATCTTTCTTTGCTTCAGTGACAGGTCATCATCTCTCCTGAGATCTCAAACCAGAACAGATTCCTCGCTGTTGTTGCTGCTGTGTCATACATGATTGAACTCAGCAACTAGCCAGTGTCATCCCACGTGAATTGTGAAATTGTACCTTGGAAAAGTTCCAGAGCAGAGCCAGGAGAATGCTGGAAAAAGCCTTGGCGAGTAAGGCTTAGTCTATTTACTTTAGACCGGTACAGACCTGAGAGTGACCTAATTGAGGTCTTTACAGTAATGAGTGTCTCTGTTGATAGATTAATCCAGATGGGAAGGAGTCACAAGTTCAAACCAAAGAGTAGAGTCGATGAAAAATATTCCTTCATTCCTAGAGAGTAGTGAGTGCTCTGGCAAGTTGTTGATACTCTTGTACACATTTTGAGAAGGAGCTGGACTGAATCTTGATTGATGCAAAGACCACGTTATACCGAAGGTAAGCGCCTTTATGCATAAACTTGATGTGTGAGATCTCTTGGACTGGCCTGAGGGGAGCTTTTGAGGTGTTTGCTTGCCTCTCCCAGTAGTGCGTAGAAGTTCTTAAATAATGATGCGCTTACCCTTATGAAGGTTGGGCAGGCTTGTGGAGCAGCCAGAAGTGAATGTGAAGCAGTTTGATCCACTTGGGGGCTGGAGTTTGTGTTCACGCAAGCCATCTGTGCAAAGGTTGGTTCCAATCTCAATTTCTGAATAACCTCCTGTTTTTGAAGAAATGGCTTTATTGAGGGTTTCTTGTTGTTTTGACTTACTGAATGAAGGATTGAATGTGCTTCAAGGACTGAGTCAGTCAGTTCCATCAGGATTTGATTAAAATTCTGTTTGCGGCTGCAAAGTTATGTGACAATTTTCACACTTTATTAAATTGTATATGCTGTTGGCTCATGAAGAAGCGAGACCTGGCATTTGTATGAGTACGGAATTGTGGAATTTTTAGAAAGGGATAAGATTTTCCAGTTTGATCAAAAGCAAAGATGAATTATTCTGGTTTTTGAGTTTAAACTTTGCTCTGGTTTGAAAGCAATTAACAGTATCAACTCCTGTTTATCTCACAACCTTGCACGTAGAAAGATGGTCCAATGCATCTCAGAAGCAAAATCAAAATGACCTTTTCTATCTGCAGAAAGGAAAATAATTGAGTTGGTATTGGAGGGGGTGGCCATTCCTAATACAATGGCTTCACTCTTGCAAATATTGAATTGATAGAAATTGTGGTTCGTGCAAGATGTTTTTAGGGATGAATTCTAGAGCAGGTGAAGGATACAGGGAAGTAGTTGGAGATTACCTTGACTCTGATTGTGGCAATGGACATAGAGAGGCCATGAGAGATTGCAAAGCTTGATGGGTCACCTGTGCATATGGATTGGAGAGTTTGAGGAGAGAGGTTGAAAGAGGTAAGTAAATTCAAAGTGTAAAGGTTCGGCTGAGCTATGATGGACATTTAAATGCCTGTCAGGAAGGAGCTATGTGTCACTAACCAAGTGAACCACGTTACAATCCTAGTGAGGATGTTGATGAGACTATCCATGAAAAAGTCAGGGAAGGAGAGGACCTGAATCTCAATCTGGCCATTTGGGGGGGAATTGCATTGACAGGCAGTTCTTGATCCACTTTTAAAATTGAGAAAGCACTGACTGGGAGAGCGAATGGAATGGCAAGAGAGTTGCTGACATTATATTCCACCAGGTAGTTGGGATAGGAAGGCTGGCAATAGAGCAGATGAGGCAAAGAGGTATCAGTCACTTATTTGAAAAGTGAAATACAGCACCAACAGGAATATTGGATTTCTAAGGGGAGCTGAAGGCTGGACAGGAGAATGGAATAGAAGCAAATTGGGCAGGTAATGTACTGAAAATATATTAAAACAATAATTGGCGTGACAGGGTGGGTGAGATCGGAATAAAGTTTGCAGTTGGGCATTGAAGAAAGAAAAAGGAGAGATAACAGCAATGGGTTAAGATCTGGAGAATTCAATGCAAGTGTCCACCTGAATCAACGCAGCAGGTTGCGTAGGCATTGTAGCTATT